CAGGTCACATTGAGCCATAGTGTATGTTTGCTGTATATGTAATGTAAAAGCTCTTCCTCTCAACTGACTTGATATAAAAGAAGTGGAAAAATATATTTTTTTAAAAGGACATCATCAGGGACATCATACGAGACATCATTCAAAATAATACAAATCTATGAGGAAACTGCAATCCATGCAACAGAATTGGTTATCTCACCTCTATCTATAAAGAGCCAATCAAAAGCCAAAAGAGGAAATTCTTGTTGATCAACTGATGCAATAGAGGTTCACCACATTTTCAGTTATGTAGTTACAGAAACCTAGCTCTATTTTTTAACATACTAAGAAGGTACGCAAGTATACTTTCTTTTCTCCTTTTTTTGCCTTAGTGACATAACATGAATCACATGGTCTTGGTTCAATGCTCTCATAAGCCAGATAGTTTAATTGTGTCCGCAATCTGAATTGAGCCATTGACAAGATAGCTGTCAAATGGAAGACTTGGTTCTAGAAGAATTCAGTGGAATAAAATTCCATTGAATTTTATTCAAAATTAACAATAGTTAGAAATCATTATTTTATGCTATAATAAAATTCCATCAAATGTTTGCAGAAAAGGTAACAGTGAGGTGACAAACCTCAAATGAGTTATTATTAAACACTTTTTAGGTCTTTGTCAGATATTTTAGTGTTACTCTGAGGGTACAAAGGCTGTATCAATAATCAGACTTTTTTTTATTTTAATTGAAAATAAGCAATAAACAAGCTGGTATAGGATCATTAGACCCTACATCAAAGAATAATCAACTGACAGCTACTTCCTAAAATATTTGTCATATCAGTTTAATTGGTTGACGATATGTGCACACGCTTTCTGTCTTCTGCCTATAATGTATTGCACTGAAATGCTGTATTTGGCACTTAGGTTGGTAAACCACGTAAAGTACAACCCGTTTTTTGAAGGCATTATATTTTACAGTTTGTTTTACTGTTGAATTTTGATACTCACTAAGTTCATGTTACAAACTAAGCTCAAAAGGTGAAGCAAGAGAACTGTTGACTCAGTTGGCCTTCCTCATACTGTGCTTTGGCATTGCTCCTGTGTTCAAAGCTAGCTGTAAGCAGGAGGATTTATTGTCCCCTGCAGTGCGAGATCTGTCTTAAAGTACCCCATT